TAACTGCCGAACACACATACGATGTTGTTTAAAAAAAAATACACAATTTAATAATAAATATTTGAATATTTTTATGACGAGTGATTTCTCATTTTAAAGGCGTTTTAAAAATACACGATGTTTCTCTCTTCATTCGTTAGACAACGTAAAGCGGAGATTCTTCAACTGATTTGTTTTAAATAAAGCCTAACTTCTCAGAATTTACAAACTTTTATGAATGACTTCAAAAATTTAAATTTATCTTACAAAATCCATGTCCATATTAAATCCACAGCTGACATCTACTTCCTGCAGGTCTGGAGTGGGAGGCTTTTTTTTTTTTTACTGAATAATTCACTTTCACACGTCTTAAATACCTTTTATCTTTCTGTAGGTTCCGATAATTTATTTTGGCTCATTTAGTAAACACGTTTGTTTTTAGAGGCTTTAAAACGTCCCATGTTGGTAAAAAGCATTATCGGTTCGAGGTTTGTTTTTCAGCATAACACGTTAAAGAATCAAGAAGTTTCTTTTTAATTCGATATATTTAGAAATATTTCAATTCTCCCAATCGGAAAGATCATCTCTACTTTATGTGTCAACATTTTCAACATACAATGGAATTTCATGAAAAGTTCTCAACCTCACTCCAAAAGAAGAGCCATAGTTGAACATTTTTGTTGTGGCAACACACTACCAATTTTTATAAAACTAGAAAAATTAATTCAGATTTCTGTCTTAATTTCTGTGAAGGTGTTATAGTAATTTACCCACGCACGCATGGACTTTTCCAGCTATAAATTGGAGCAGATACTGCCTTTTAGAAAGGAAAGTTTTCAGCAGTCAGCTCTGACAGTCAGACCGAACATTCTTGCTGTAACACTCTCGTTTGTATATGTTTGTATTACTGTTTCTGTTAATTTATTTAACTAAATTCCTCTCTTTGTGTCTTTATTTCTGGCCCTAACAAAGTGACAACACAAGGCTTTCTTATGATGAAATCATTTACAATACTTTCTTATAGTGAAATCATTTACAATGCATCCTTATAATGAAGTCATTTACTGTCATGGGACCTTACCTATAACTACAGAATGAACTCTTCCTAACACTATGTATACTACGCCTCTCAAGAGAGAGGGTCGAATCGAGTCGAGCCGATAGTAGTTCACTCCAAACCAGACTGACAGTCATACTAACACCTTCCACCTCTTGTATTATTATTTCGTGTAATATACCTTCGTTATTTCTACTCTTGTGTTCGTGTTGTTCTTCCTTGGTCTTAACCTCGACCATAACATTTACAATGTACTCTTATAGTAAAATCATTTACAAGGTGTTATGGTAATTTACCCACACACACATGGACTCTTCAAGCTATAAATAGGAACAGGTATTGCCTTTTAGAGAGGGAAATTTCCGGCAGTGAGCTCTGACAGTCAGACCGAACATTCTTGCTGTAATACTCTCGTTTGTATATGTTTGCATTACTGTTTCTGTTAATATATTTGTTTAACTCAATTCCTCTCTTTCTGACCGTAACAAGGCCACAGTAGAAAGTGGGTCTGATACAAATATGAGAGGTGTGCGACAAATCTAAAAATTGGACAAAAACGTGTCCGAGCAGTTACAGAGTATCTGCAAAAGAAAGGTATGACACCCAAGTAAATCTATGAGGTACAATGGTACAGATACTTCCTGAGGACTCCCTTTCTTATGCAACCGTGAAGAAGTAGGCTGCGGAATTCAAGCGGTACAGGGAGAGCACTGAAGATGACTCTCGTTCAGGTCGTCCGAAAATCCCAACCACTTACCCACCACAGAGAACTCTCCCTGCTTCTCATCAGAATGGCTGATCTCAAACTCATCGAAAGGGTCTCGTTACGCTTGTCGTTTGACATGAGGTGGAAGAAATACATTGAATAAATAGCTTCATCTACTGCAAGGAAAGTTGGCTCTCTGTGACTTGCCAGAAAGTTTTTCTCGTCTGAATCCATCCTTCAAATCTATAAATCAACCATCCGTCCTTACATTGAATATTTCTGTCATATATGGTCTGGTGCTCCCGCTGTACGTCTCGAGATTCTCGACAAAAATCCAGAGACGAATGTGCAAGACGATGGGGTCCTGAATTGGCATCTAGTCTACAATCCCTTATCCCACAGATGTGCTGTGGCCTCCCTCTGTCTCTTCTACAAATATTTTCACGGCATCAGTTCCGACGAGCTACTTCGCGGACTACATGAATTGAAACGTGCTACCAGGCTGGTACCTGGGTCCCACCCTTTCACTGTCGAAACGGTTAAATGCAACCGTCTCTTCTTCTCCCGCACTTCCCACCTGTGCAACTCCCTTCCCCTTACTTGCTTCCCCGATGACTATCATCTTGAAATATTCAAGTGTAATGTCAATCGACATCTTTTGATGCCTTTCTTGTTTCCCGTCCTCCTCTCTATCCTTTCCTCAAACACGTCTCTTTACTCTTATTCTCAGTCCTCTGTAACCCCTTATGTGCTAGTGGCACTCCTGCCTTGCTTGGGGTGAATTGCTTTACCCCCCCCCTCGCTCCAAAAAAAAACCCCCTGATGAACAGCTTGATATCATACACTATATGGTTTTGGTTGACAGA